CTTTGGTGTGAGTTAGTCCTGTCTGTCCCCGGATATAGCCCCTGTCGCCCCGCCTGCTGTTTCCACGTAATGCACCTTCATTCCCCCCTCCCCTTCCCCCTCCCCGTCTTGCGTCGTTCGGCAGTGCTTCGTCTTACCCTCCTCCTCCTCTCCCCCCCTGCCCTCCCCCCCTTTGCCGCCCGCAACCGGTCCACCGCCGGCCGCAGTCTGCTCCGCTCTCACGCGGTGTGGTTGGCCACCTTCCTGGCCCTGCGAGTGTCTCTTTGTACGGCAGTACTGCATTGCTCCAAGGAGTTGTTGAGGAGGTGACCGCGGGGTGGGGGCGGAGTAGGGGGGGGACGAGCGGGCGGCTGGCGGGGTGCCGCGGTATGGGGATGTGGGGGATTGGGTTGGGTGGGGGGGTGGGGTGGGGGGGTTAGTGCCGGGATGTCTCTGGGGCAGCTGCATGATTTGGAGCTGAAGTACGTCCCACCCATCACCACCACTGTCTTACCTGTGATGTCGGTGGTGGGGAAAGACGTTGACCGATTGGGGTTTTCATGTTGCCCCCCGTTCGTTCAACTCCCCTCCCAACGCCTTCACATTCGACCTACCGCTACCTCCCCCCTCGCACCCCGCTACTCCTAACCCGCTAAAACCCCCCACCTCCTCGCCAAACGGAAACACCGCCACACCGCCACTCTCACTTCCAGATCTGTCCGAAAGCGAGGGCCCCGTTGGTTGCGAGGTGTCGTACATTTCCTGTGCGATGTCCTGCTGCCCACGAGCTTCTTCGGTCCGCTGTTGGGGCTGACGGCGGCGGCGGTGCAGCTGACAGGGCTGGGGACCCCGGGGCAGGGGCTTGGACAGGGGCTGGGGCTGGGGCTGGGGTGGTTGCGTGGCGGCGGCCGCCATCTACAACGGCCATGTGAGGGCAGTACGGCTGTGTCGGGGGGGGTCGGGTTTGCTGGGTTCGCATGTCCTTTGCTTTGTTTGCTTTGCTTTGCTTTGTTTTGGTCTTTTGGTTTAGAGACTGAAACTACATTTTCTCGGGGTTACCTCAGTGCTGTTGTGGGACCAGTGAGATGCCCTGGCCTCTTTGACCTAATCGGGACTGTGTGTGTCCGTCTGTCTGTCTGTCCGTCTGTCTGTCCGTCTGTTTTTGTGTCCAATTCATTCATCTTTAATGTCTGGCATTAATTCAGTATGTGTCCCGGCGCCGCCTCATGACCACACTACTGCAGCTACCACCCCCACCCCCACCCCCCCTCCTCCTCCCCTGTTCCGCACCCCAAGCAGCAGCCCCCATGCCACCGCCACTCGTCGCCGCGCTACCGGCGGTAGCGGCCGCCGCCAGCGACGCCGTGGCCGCCACCGTCAGCGCCACCGTCGCCGCCACCGTCACACCGGCTGTAGCTGCAACCGCCAACTGGGGGACTGGAAAATGAAGTCCGGAGGTCCCGGGGAACGACATGAAACACGAAACACGGCACCTCAAACCAAAAGCGATGGGACACGCTCGGGGTGTTGAAACAGTACGGCGCATGAGATGCCGTACAAGACGAGGCAGTACAGGAACGCAGGATAGCAGGCCAGAGAACAGCAACAGCGGCAATAGCATAAACATAGTGCTGCTTGTACGGGTAGGGTTTGTGCAGCTGCTTAGTAGTAGGCAGGAGGATGGAAGAGATTGTTCAGGTGTTATGGTTTTTCTGGTTGACATGACGTTTTAGAATGTGCGGTTTGTTCCGATCTTCTTTGACGTGTCGGCCAACCGAGTTGCGTTTCCTCATTGTTTTGTACTTGTACGTTGTTTTGTACGGTTGCGTTGTTTTGGTTGTACTCCCCTTTCATTACGAAGGTTGGCGAGGTCTCGGGATCGGAAGAAGAGACGTTATCTCACGGTTGGGAACCCAAACCAAGCTGGGCTCCACCTCCCTCGTCCGCTGTTGCCTTGCTAAGGGGGGCCCAGCCATGGAACATATCCCGTAGCGTCCAAAAGGGTTTTAATGTAGCGCCAGAACAACATTAGCAGTAGCTGCAGTACTGAGGTGCCGTGCATACCTGCAGTACTGGTGTCGTACATAGTGCCTTCAAACCTGGGGCTCGAGGGCGGTCGGACGGGGGGCCCCCGGGGGGGTAACACAACAATGGGCTAATGGCTGTTCAGGCCTGGCAGCTCCTCGAATAGAAATACATTTGCCAACAAAAGAGATTTGTTTTGCTCCCTTTTCCAACCACCATCATGCTCTGTGGGTGCGGCAGTATGGAAGGAGCGGATCCGGTTGGACTAAAAGTGTGTGTGCGTATGTATGTATGCATGTATGTATGCATGTATGTATGTATGTATGTATGTATGTATGTATGCATGTATGTATGCATGTATGTGTAATGTAATGTAATGTAATGTTACAGAGTGGGAGGCTTCTGGGCCACTTTATCACATTGTCAGTTCTAGATCATTTATCACCTTATAGCACCATCCACCACTACCACACTGTACTTCGCCATACGAACTGTAAGTCCAAGGCGGCGGATCCAGCCTTCAGGGACCCCACCTCATCCATTCACCCGAACACCCGAAGAGACGGAGGGTTCGGCAATCGCCACCAATCCAGCGTGCGAATCTGGTCCATCAACTGTGACCTCAACTCCACATCTCAGCAGCTAGCCATAATCTCGCGCTCCCGACTAATTCGGGGGTCTCCCCAGGAATCGAACCCAGGACCTTAAACCGCTAATTGCAGTAGTGTCAACCCAGACCAGACCCAGCATGTATGTGTGTGTGATATGACCGCGGAGAGCAGCAAACATACGGTTTATCATGTCACTCAGGGATTCTGCACCAGGCTCAAAAGTTTGCGAGTTGTACGAGCTCCTAAACGCAATTGGTGCACGAGTGTCTGATGTTCGTTAGTGGTTGTTAAGATTAGTTGGTTTCTCGTTCGCACACCATCCGACACTACAACTCATCACCATTTTCATTCATCCGGCATCATTATGGTTACCACCACGCGTGGAGAGGAATCGACCATGAAGTTTTGACACTTTGTGTGTATGTCTGTATGTCTGTCTGTATGTAGATATGTGTATGTGCGTCTTGAGACAGGCATACTGTTATGTGCCGGGCATGCATGGAAGGGCAGGTTGGCGTTACTCAAGAGTCTCAGGACATGGTGGCGCATCCCTCTTCCACTGTAACGTGTCGTCAGAACGACGTAAAGCGTCAGCCGTTGGTGAAGGTGATGTACTTACTGGTGGTGATGGTGGTGGCGGTGGATGGGGGCCAGTCTCTGCTAGTGTGGCTCTTCCTTCATTGCTCTATATTCTCTCTCTCTTTTATCGCTTCATCTTTGCCTTTTTTGCTCTTTAGTGTTGCTTACCCTGTGGCAGCTGTGGTTCCGGAACTGGCTGAATCCAATCGCCGACATACCACACTTTCCCCACAGGTATATACTTAATGTGTTGAGCTCAGGGGATGTTGAAAGGTTCCTTGTAACAGAGATGTGGTTCAATTCAGCAGGTGTTCACCCGCCTGTTAACCCCTCGAGCCAAGCCATCGTCCTCGCGACCATCTGTATGATATCCGCGTACGTGGATGGGTATGCGACGGAAGCTGACGAATTAATAGCGGGGAACGGACAGGAAACAGAGAGGGCACTCGATGTCTCCGGCATTTATCTTTCCTCATGCGAAAGTCTTGTTTATAAACGATGCCGAGATGTAGAAAATTACACTATGTAGAAACGGCATAGGTTCCAGCTGGAACCCATGCCAGCCGAAATTGCTCCTGCAGGAGCAATTTCTATAGATTCGTCCGTTTCGATTTCTCGGTATTCCTCTCGTCCACCGCTTCCCGACTTGGCAAGGTTTCAGAAAAACAAAATGTCACGGGAAGTTAATGAATAAGTCGTTCAATTGGACGACATGTTTGGCTTGGATAAACCCTTCAGTCCCCCATCGTCGAAGCGGACTTCATGGTGGTTACAATGGTGGGCATCTGCGGTATGCAGGGCGACATACCAAAAAACTTGTTGCTCATATAACTTTTGGCCATATAATGACGAGCATTCCTCAATAAATGACTCAACAACCTGTCCTGTGTTCATGTACATGTACGGTTCGGCAGCGCATCAGTTGTACCGTAAGGCTAAAACAGTTTCCTTGGTAAGCAAATTTATACAGTTCGTTTACAGACTCTTGTTATGATTTACCGAATCCACTTATAGATTTGCGAGGTGGGGCCCACGGAGCTTATTCGGTACTAGGTCCTTGATTTATGGACGGCATGTCGCGTAATACCCAAACATCAAGCCTAGCGATTGTTAAGAGGCTAATCTACATTCCTCTGCCCGTGCGATACACAAGTTTAACTGTGTACGGCTGCTGTCCATAGGTTCGGAAGAAGGTACCTGTATGAAGAGTTGAGCTCTAGTAGATTTACACATCATTAAACACAGTGGGCTTAGTATTGCACTGTAAACTTCCAAAGCTGTACGTGCTTCAGGATATGGGGCTTCATCGCTCTTACATCGGTTAGCAATGCGTAGCTAGGTTTTTCTAATATCAACGTGAGGGAACAACTGCATGTTCTTTAGATATGCATAAATTATGGTGTTGCAGTCGACCTTCGCGGTCTGCTGAGCATTCTCCAGATGATGGGCAAGTTCCGGTTCAGAATACAAAATCTCCTCTAGTTCTGCGACAAGAGCCTGCGGGAACCAGGCAGGACGTGGAGGGTTCCCTGTGGCTGGCGGAGGTAGGGCAATGTGGTCTGCTCTGCCGAGCATTGCAACTTCCGCCTTATCGACAGTTTAATGATGGCGCTCACTGGTTGTGTAGGCAGCTATCTCCGCTTGTGCAAGCCTTGCGGAATTCGTCGCAAGGGGAGGCGTCGCAAGCAGCTGGCCTGCGAGATTGTTGTCACAGCTGCAAACTATTAATAGTGCTCTGGCAACGTCCTATGTACGGTAAGCTGCTTATGCAGTGTGTGCGTCTGCTTCGTGCCTTTGATGTCCCGTTCCATGGCCTCATGTGCAGACTTGCGCTTTTTGCACGGGGCCCCGGAGGCACAGCTACTTGCGTGTTGTCAGCTGCTGGACACACGCAGTCCTTTTGGGAGCGTCCACCTGCTGCTGCAGTTGGCTGGAGCAGAACCGCCCTCCTTGACCGCCTCGCCAAGGTTGGTTGGGCATCGCATCCCCTCTTTTGGCGCGGCTTTACGTTCAACCCTCATGAAAAATTCCAAAAAGAAATATTCCTGTTTCAGACTTCTGGGTTGCCATGACGACTGCCGCTTTTGTTTACTAAGACATCGAAGGAAAGAACCCGCCACGACTCCTCATCGGCCGCGAGAAACATTGGATTAACTCCAGGCCTCTGTTTCTTTGCTTAAATTCCAAAAACGTAATGTATGCAAACATATGTAAGCTCAATCACCGACGAACCAGGGCATACGGCGCTTCCATCCATCGCAATCGAACTCCTTGACACGCAGCCACTTCCCCTTTCCTAATCCTCTCATTCAGACGATTCCCCGATCCATCACCCGCCCTTTCTTCAGTCATCTGGGTCGGCGTTGGCTTCCTTCCTCAAACTCCCCAGTCGCCAAACCTTCCTTGTTCTCGCCTTGTCCCTGTCGGTACCTGTCACACGGTAGCTCCACCACCGCACCCCTCCCCCACATTCGGGACCCAAGACCTCGCCGTGCAGGAGCGTTCTTGTGTTTGGGAGCTGTACACATCTTGGTGTGATTATGTCTTGAGGCAGCGACCCACATAACTCACTAACTGATGGCTTTGCGAGGCATCACGCAACGCAGTGTACAACATTGTATGCCCTGTCACGCCCTTCGCGCCGTACCTTCCAATAATATGTAATAATGCCACTAGAAGCCTTAGCAGAATCCGTAACCCCCAACCCCACATCAGTGCGACCGCATTCAGGTCAAGCATCCTTTTTTTTGGCACACAGCTGGGTGGTCTTTGCTAGGATGCCCACAAAGTAACAAACAAACAGACAAACAAACTCCCAACCACCGACTCAAATGGCCACAGTACCCCAACCACCGTACCGTAACGCAAAACGTTACCCCGCTTACCTCTTTGGATTTGTCATCCCACTCCCCGGCGGCCTGTTTCCACACCCTCCTCCACTCCTCTCCCCTGCCGTAAAAGCAGCAACACCTCCTCCAGGAGCACGACACAATAACCGTCGTTAACCGCCATTTCGACCACATTCACGGCCCAGACGCCAGCTCCCTGTCGTCCCACGTCTGCGGCGACAACGGCAAAGCCGCAACAGCCGCCGACGCCGCCGGCACCGGTGGCGGCGGCGGTGGTAGCCGCGGATCTCCTCTTCCATCACGCTCCGGAACCGCCCCGAACCATTCCGTACTGCTCCGCCCCGGGGACCTCATAGCTCTTCCAATCGTGAGAGACGGTCGAGT